TTACTGTTCAAAAAAACCTACCATTAAAATTATAGACTGATCATTTCTGTCAGTGGGCAAACTTACAAAATTAGCAGGGGATCAAATACTTTTTTCCCCTCACTGTACACTTTCAATCGTATACATTTACATTTTAGTCATTTAGCAGACGCTCTTATCCAGAGCGACTTACACAGTTAGTGAGTGCATACATTTTTCATACTGAATACACACCAATTATAGCTATTAGCTAACATAGCTTTTCGCTAACTTATAGCTTTTCGCTAAGCACATTTCAAGGGCTGCTTTTCTTTCTCTCACCACGGACAAGTCTTCTGAGCACCTCCCTCTTGGCCATGGTTCAGGAAGCGTGGGAGTCAGTCAACATTGGGACAGTGGTAATGCCACCCATTAAAAGAAGGATCATCAACTACAACCACTGTTCACTGTTCCAACTTGTCTATGCCAGCCTACCAGGGTGTCTCTATTGTCAGGGTATGTTCAGCCCCTGCCTACTGTAACACCCCCAGGGCTTTCTTTTCTTCCTCAGCTAGAGGAGACCAAGCCTGTTAGAACCAGACCAGGGCCTATCTCTCTGTTGACATTGTGAATCACTTCCTCCCAGTAACAGCAGCAACACTGACATGACTCAGCAGAAAGTATTTAGATCAGATATTAAAATCAGTCAGGTAAAATCCTGTAGCTCAGTTGGTAGAGCAATGGCGCTTGCAACGCCAGGGTTGTGGGTTCGATTCCCACGGGGGGCCAGTATGAAAAATGTATGCACTCACTTAACTGTAAGTCGCTCTGGATAACAGCGTCTGCTAAATGACTAAAATGTAAATGTATATACTCAGTCAGGTGTCAGGCTGGAATATTTGAAAAATGAGTTGTCCTCTAGAAATGGTTTGCCTGGTTTCCCATCCATATCGCCCCGGCCATGCCAACTCATTATTTTTCTATACTGTGCTTTAGTCAAGTGTGTCCTGATAATATCCATAGTATTGAACCCTTCACAGTCCCTTCATAGTATTGAACCCTTTACCATCCCTTCATAGTATTGAACCCTTTACCAATCCCTTCATAGTATTGAACCCTTTACCATCCCTTCATAGTATTGAACCCTTCACCAATCCCTTCATAGTATTGAACCCTTCACCATCCCTTCATAGTATTGAACAGGAAGTTTTATCTGGAGCTGTGCACAGAATTATACAGAACAGTGGGCAGAACCTCTTCACACAATTCAGAAAAACTACTGCTGGATCTGCTGCTGATTGGGAGGGTCAGTGGGTTGCACAGTGTGCATGTATGTATGTATGTATGTATGTATGTATGTATGTATGTATGTATGTATGTATGTATGTATGTATGTATGTATGTATGTATGTATGTATGTATGTATGTATGTATGTATGTATGTATGTATGTATGTATGTATAGTGCCTTGAGAAAGCATTCACACCCCTTGACTTATTCCACATTGTTGTGTTACAGCCTGAATTCAACATTTATTAAAGAAAAAATCTCACCCATCTACTGTACACACAATACCCCATAATCAAAAAGTAAAAACATGCTCAGTAATTTACCAAATGTATTTAAAATTAAATATAGAAATCTCATTTACACAAGTATTCACACCCCGTGTCAATGCTTTCTGTTTAAGTTTCTAAGAGCTTTGGACTGTACAATATTTGCACATGATTCTTTTTAACATTCTTCAAGCTCTGTCAAGTTGGTTGTTGATCATTGCTAGACAGCCATTTTCAAGTCTTGCCATAGATTTTCAAGCCGATTTAAGTCAAAAATGTAACTGCGCCACTCAGGAACATTCAATGTCGTCTTGGTAAGCAACTCCAGTGTATATTTGGCCATCTATTTTAGGTTATTGTCCTGCTGAAAGGTGAATCTGTTTCCCAGTATCTGTTGGAAAGCAGTCTGAACCAGGTTTTCCTCTAGGATTTTGCCTGTACTCTGCTCCATTCCGTTTCTTTTTATCCCAAAAAAAAAAACTACATAGTCCTTGCCGATGACAAGCATACCCATAACATGATGCAGCCACCACCATGCTTGAAAATATTTAGAGTGGTACTCAGTGATGTGTTGTGTTGGATTTGCCCCAAACATAACACTTTGTATTCAGGACATAAAGTTAATTTCTTTGCCACATTCTTAGCAGTTTTACTTTAGTTCCTTATTACAAACAGGATGCATGTTGTAGGATATTTTTATTCTGTACAGGCTTCCTCCTTTTCACTCTTGGCTCTGTCATATCCTCACATGGTCTATCCTATCATTGCTACGCAGACGACACACAATTCATTTTCTCCTTTCCCCCTTCTGATAACCAGGTGGCGAATCGCATCTCTGCATGTCTGGCAGACATATCAGTGTGGATGTCGGATCACCACCTCAAGCTGAACCTCGGCAAGACGGAGCTGCTCTTCCTCCCGGGGAAGGACTGCCCGCTCCATGATCTCGCCATCACGGTTGACAACTCCATTGTGTCCTCCTCCCAGAGTGCAAAGAGCCTTGGCGTGACCCTGGACAACACCCTGTCGTTCTCTGCTAACATGAAAGCGGTGACCCGATCCTGCAGGTTCATGCTCTACAACATTCGCAGAGTACGACCCTACCTTACACAGAAAGCGGCACAGGTCCTAATCCAGGCACTTGTCATCTCCCGTCTGGATTACTGCAACTCGCTGTTGGCTGGGCTCCCTGCCTGTGCCATTAAACCCCTACAACTTATCCAGAACGCCGCAGCCCGTCTGGTGTTCGACCTTCCCAAGTTCTCTCATGTCACCCCGCTCCTCCGCCCACTCCACTGGCTTCCAGTTGAAGCTCGCATCTACTACAAAACCATGGTGCTTGCCTACGGAGCTGTGAGGGGAACGGCACCTCCTTACCTTCAGGCTCTGATCAGACCCTACACCCAAACGAGGGCACTACGTTCATCCACCTCTGGCCTGCTGGCTCCCCTACCTCTACAGAAGCACAGTTCCCGCTCAGCCCAGTCAAAACTATTTGCTGCTCTGGCACCCCAATGGTGGAACAAGCTCCCCCACGACGCCAGGACAGCGGAGTCACTGACCACCTTCCGGAGACACTTGAAACCCTACCTCTAAGGAATACCTGGAATAGTATAAAGCAATCCTTATACCCCCCCATAAAAAAAAAGAAGAAAAAAAGTGGTTGTCCCACTTGCTATCATAAGTTGATTGCACCAATTTGTAAGTCCCTCTGGATAAGAGCGTCTGCTAAATGATGTAAATGTAAAATGTCAATTAGGTTAGTATTGTGGAGTAACTACACTGTTGTTGATCCATCCTCAGTTATCTCCTATCACAGCCATTTAAAGTCACCTTTGGCCTCATGGTGAAATCCCTGAGCGGTTTCCTTCCACTCAGCAACTGAGTTAGGAAGGATGCCTGTATCTTTGTAGTAACTTGGTGTATTGATACACTAATCAATAACTTCACCATGCTCAAAGGGATATTCAATGTCAGTTTTTTTACCCATCTACCAATACCAATTGGTCCCCTTCTTTGCGAGGCATTGGAAAACCTCCCTGGTCTTTGTGGTCAAATCTGTGTTTGAAATTCACTGGTTGACTGATGGACATTACAGATAATTATATGTGTGGGGTACAGAGATTAGGTAGCCATTCAAAAATCATGTTAAACACTATTATTGCACACAGAGTGAATTAATGCAATTTGTGACTTGTTAAGCACTTTTTTACTCCTGGACTTATTTAGGCTTGCCATAACAAAGGGGTTGAATACTTATTGACTCAAGACATTTCAGCTTTTCATTTTTAATTAGTTTGTAAACATTTCTAAAAACATAATTCCACTTTGACATTATGGGGTATTTTGTGTAGGCCAGTGATACAAAATATCAATTGAATCCATTTTAAATTCAGGCTGTAACAACAAAATGTGGAAAAAGTCAAGGGGTGAGAATACTTTCTGAAGGCATGGTATGTCTGTGTCTGTAGTGGGGTCCTAAATGAATGAGCAATGAATGAGCAATAATGACTGCATAAAATAATTCAAATATGAAGTTATATTGTATGCTTAAAAAAAAGGGGGAAATTACTAGCCAAAAGTTTAGTATTTGGTCCCATATTCCTAGCAGACAATGACTACATCAAGCTTGTGACTAAACACATTTGTTGGATGTATTTGCAGTTTGTTTTGGATGGGTCTCAGATTATTTTTTGCCCAAAATATTTTTTGTTGTTGTAAATAAACAGTGTCATTTTGGAGTCACTTTTATTGTAAATAATAGAATGTGTTTCTAAACACTTCTACATGAATGTGGATGCTACCTTGGTTACGGATCATCCTGAATGAATGTGGATGCTACCATGGTTACGGATCATCCTGAATGACTGATGAGGGAAAGTTCCACAGGACCAAACCATTACCAATAACAGCAGGGGTTAGTATGTTTTGGCTGTAATATCTTTGACCAGCTGTACTTTTATCACGCATCATTATTCACCATTTATTATAATCATGGTAGCATCCACATTAAATGTAGAAAAGGGTTTAGAAACATATTTTATTTACAATAAAAGTGACTCCAAAATGACACAATACATTATTTATCATTTCAACTGGGCACAAAATAAATCAAAAGAAACAAAACAAACTGCAAATGCACCCAAGTTTGTAGAGTCAGAAAGTTTGATTTAGTTATTGTGTGGTAGAAATACGGGACCAAATACTAAACTTGACTACTTTATTTATAAAAATCCTTAGGGGTGTCAATAACTTGAACCCCTACCTTGTTGAGAAAAAAAGTATTAAAACAAAATCTGAGCAATTGTATTAGAATAAAATGTAAAAATAAATCTAGCATACAATATCGCTCAGTATTTGAATTCTTTATTTTATAGTCATTATTGCTCATATTTATCAAGGGTGTCAATCATTTCGGACGCCACAGTATGCATGCATGTGTGTTAGTCCACAGAGGATAAGGTTCTCTGTCACTAAGAACCTCTATGCAGGTGGTTGGGAGGTTGAGACCGTGAAGAACATGTTACCTGAGGGAAGGCCTTTGCCCCGAAGCCTCTCCCGAATCTCCTTGCTCCTCTCCGGAATAGACTCCCTATCACTCTGGGACAGTAGGCCATCCAGCTGATGGAGAGAGGGGGAGAGAGACAGAAAAACAGGGAGCAAGAGAGTGAATGAGAGAGAGCGAATGAGAGAGAGAGGGAAAATGAGCGCAGGAAGGAGAGAGAGAATAAAGAAAAGAAAAGAGGTTGAGGTTAACAAAAGGAGCTGGAGGGGACATCTAACAGTCTGTCTGAGGCTTCATAAGATCCCTTGGGGTTGACGTGAACCACGGTATATTGGTTACGTTGTGCTGTAACCAGTCAGATAATGGCCTTTTAGCCTGCCTAAGTTGTCCTTCCTCTGCTAGCACTTCAATAAGAAGCTAGGGAGTGGCTATATTGGATTGAGTCACACATTTGAGTCATTTAGCAAATGCTCTTATCCAGAGCAACTTAAATTAGTGCATTCATCTTAAGATACTGTAGCTAGGGAGACAACATATCACAATCATAGCAAGCTAATTTCCCCTCAAAGTAGTTGTCAGCAAAGTCGCTGGTGGTTAGAGAAGACAAACGCAGTGGTGTGTTTTTAAGAAACTCTAAAAAGAGCTTTAAAAGGGTTTCAGACGTTTTCAGAAGATGGGCTGGGACTCTGCTGTACTGACGTTAGGGGGAAGCTTGTTCCACCATTGGGATGCCAGGACAGAGAAGAGCTTTGACTGAGCTGGAGCACAGTAGGTAAAGTAGCGCCCCTTCAAACATTCAATCTTTGCCATTTGGCAATGGGCTTCACAAAACAGTTAAGGGTGATCTATTGTAGTTCAAAATATGACTATTTTGATTAAGATAATTACTGTACTTTAGGCATGGGCAGTATTGTACATAACGTTGATGCTACCGTCTCTTAAGACCGAAAAGAGCTTCTGGAAATCAGAACAGCGATTACTCACCTCGAACTGGACAAAGATTTTTTCTTTAATGAGTCGGACTCGAAGGATATAATGTTGCTCCCGGAAAAGGCCCAAATCCCCATCATTCGCATTAAGAAAATAAGGAAATACAGGGGGTGGAGATCGGGTGCCTTGTGAGAATTTGTCGGCGAGTGGGTAACCCGCCTCTACCATCCGTTCATTAGCCAACGTGCAATCACTGGAGAATAAACTGGATGAGCTCCGTTTGAGACTATCCTACCAACAGGACATTAAAAACTGTAATATCTTATGTTTCACCGAGTCGTGGCTGAACGATGACACAGATAATATGCAGTTGGCTGGGTTTTCCGTGCATCGGCAGGACAGCTACCTCTGGTAAGACGAGGGGTGGGGGTGTGTGTCTATTTGCCAATAACAGTCGGTGCGCGATACCTAATATTAAGGTAGTCTAAGCTGTAGACCACACTATTTACCAAGAGAGTTTATCTGTATTTTTCGTAGCTGTCTATTTACCACCACAAACCGACGCTGGCACTAAGACCGCACTCAACGAGCTGCATAAGGCCATAAGCAAACAAGAAAATGCTCATCTAGAAGCGGCGCTCCTAGTGGTCGGGGACTTTAATGCAGGCAAACTTAAATCCGTTTCACCTCATTTCTACTAGCATGTCAAATGTGCAACCAGAGGGGGAAGAAAACTATAGACCACCTTTACTCCACACACAGACAAAGCTCTCCCTCGCCCTCCTGATTCCTGCTTGCAAGCAAAAACTAAAGCAGGAAGTACCAGTGATTCGCTCAATACGGAAGTGGTCAGATGACGCGGATGCTACGCTACAGGACTGTTTTGCTAGCACAGACTGGAATATGTTCCGGGATTCATCCAATGGCATTGAGGAGTACACCACATCAGTCACCGGCTTCATCAATAAGTGCATCGACGACGACGTTCCGACAGTGACTGTATGTACATATCCCAACCAGAAGCCATGGATTACAGGCAACATCCGCACCGAGCTAAAGGCTAAAGCTGCCACTTTCAAGGAGCGGGACACTAATCCGGACGCTTATAAGAAATCCCACTATGCCCTCAGACGAACCGTCAAACAGGCAAAGCGTAAATACAGGACTAAGATTGAATCCTACTACACCGGCTCTGATGCTCGTCGGATGTAGCAGGGCTTGCAAACTACTACGGACTACAAAGGGAAACCCAGCCGCGAGCTGGCCAGTGACGCGAGCCTACCAGACGAGCTTAATGCCTTTTATGCTCACTTCGAGGTAAGCAGCACTGAAGCATGCATGAAAGCACCAGCTGTTCCAGACGACTGTGTGATCACGCTCTCCGTAGTCGATGTGAGCAAGACATTTAAACAGGTCAACATTCACAAGGACGCGGGCGGATTACCAGGACTTGTACTCAGAGCAGGCGCAGACCAACTGGCAAGTGTCTTCACTGATATTTTCAACCTCTCCCTGACCGAGTCTGTAATACCTACACGTTTCAAGCAGACCACCATAGTCCCTGTGCCCAAGAAAGCGACGGTAACCTGCCTAAATGATTACCGCCACGTAGCACTCACGTCGGTAGCCATGAAGTGCTTTGAAAGGCTGGTCATGGCTCACATCAACACCATCAACTCGGAAACCCTAGACCCACTCCAATTCGCATACCGCCACAACAGAACCACAGATGATGCAATTGCACTCCACACTGCCCTTTCCCACCTGGACAAAAGGAACACCTATGTGAGAATACTGTTGATTGACTACAGCTCAGGGTTCAACACCATAGTGCCCACAAAGCGCATCACTAAGCTAAGGACCCTGGGACTAAACACCTCCCTCTGCAACTGGATCCTGGACTTCCTGACGGGCTGCCCCCAGGTGGTAAGGGTAGGCAACAACACATCTGCCATGCTAATCCTCAACATGGGGGCCCCTCAGGGGTGCGTGCTTAGTCCCCTCCTGTACTCCCTGTTCATCCATGACTGCGTGGCCAAGCACGACTCCAACACCATCATTTAGTTTGCTGACGACACAACAGTGTTAGGCCTGATCACCGACAACGATGAGACAGCCTATAGGGTGGAGGTCAGAGACCTGGCAGTGTGGTGCCAGGACAACAACCTCTCCCTCAACGTGAGCAAGACAAAGGAGATGATTGTGGACTACAGGAAAAGGAGGGCCGAACACGCCCCCATTCACATCGACGGGGCTGTAGTGGAGCGGGTCGAGAGTTAAGTACCTTGGTGTCCACATCACCAACAAACTATCATGGTCCAAACACACCAAGAAAGTCGTGAAGAGGGCACGACAACATCTTTTCCCCTCAGGAGACAGAAAATACTTGGCATGGGTCCCCAGATCCTCAAAAGGTTTTACAGCTGCACCATCGAGCACATCCTGACTGGTTGCATCACTGCCTGGTATGGCAACTGCTCGGCATCTGACCGTAAGGCACTACAGAGGGTAGTGCGTACGGCCCAGTATATCACTGGGGACAAGCTTCCTTCCATCCAGGACCTCTATACCAGGCGGTGTCAGAGGAAGGCCCAAAAAATTATCAAAGACTCCAGTCACCCTAGTCATAGACTGTTCTCCCTGCTACTGCATGGCAAGCGGTACCGGTGTGCCAAGTCTAGGTCCAAAAGGCTCCTTAACAGCTTTTACTCCCAAGCAATAAGACTGTTGAACAATTAATAAAAATGGCCACCCGGACTAATTGCACTGCCCCCCCCCCCCCACCCCAACCTTTGTTTTTACACTGCTGCTACTTGCTGTTTATTATCTATGCATAGTCATTTTACCCCTACCTACATGTACCCCCACACATTGACTCGGTACCCCCTGTATATAGCCTCATTGTTGTTTTGTGTTACTTTTTTTTTAAAAACTTTTTTTTACTTTAGTTTATTTAGTAAATATTTTATTAACTCTATTTTCTTAACTGCATTATTGGTTAAGGGCTTGTAAGTAAGCATTTCACGGTAAGGTCTACACCTGTTGTATTCAGCGAATGTGACAAATACAATTTGATACCGTATACCTGGGTATTTGGAAAAAAATAGTCAATTATTTATTTGAAGTTTTTCAATAAATGTAAATATTTGTAGCTACTTTAAGTTAATACCTGCAGTCAACTTGTGCAATACGTTAGTAGATAAAGCAGATTGCGTTCTTTTACCCGTCAATTAATTTTACATTATGAAGCTTACCGTAGTTCCCCAGAATGGTTATGTTCGTTAATATTTAGCTAACAGCGTCCATCTGATTTCGCTAATTTTGTTAGCATTCTGGTAATAGACGCCCAATGGGCTTTTTTCCATTTTTTTTGCGCCCCCTTGTGTGCTATGCTGGTAATACCATAAATCCCGGGATGGCAGAAGAACGGTATGAAAATCTGGATACCGCCCAAGCCTCCTGTATTTTGTTAAGTATAAGGGGTATTAAAACACACAGGTCCACTATAAAATGCTAACAGTGATGTGTCGTAGTTGTTATTTACCTGGGAGAGGCTGCCCAGCACCAGTCGGACCAGCTTTCTGATGTGTGTGAAGGAGGGTTCGCAGCTAGAATTTCTGATGTGTGTGCTGCAGGCGTCCATTACGGTGAGCACAGACATACGGCTCAGGGTGCCGTCGTCACACATGTTGAGGAGAATACTGTTCAGGTGCTCGCCCAGCTTCATCGGCTGAGACAGACACAGGACATCACAGAGGGGTTTTAAATGAACACTTACAGGGGGAGGATGAGTATACATAAAACATCATTTCTGCAAATAGAAAACGTGATTGTTAAATCTGTTTTCGAACTTGTGAATGCATCATCTATGGATTATGAATGATGTACCTGACTCTGTGGAATCTCATAGTCCGCTCCCCAAAACAAGGTCATTCCAAGGGAGTACATGTGCATCTGTGAAAAAATGAATTCCAAAAAACAGGATAAGTGTTTCCAATAATTAGGCACAAAAAAAAAAGGCAGTAGCTGTAGTTCTGAGGCCTGGCTCCCGTCTGACTAATACAACAATAAATCTGACCCTTTGTTCTGTTCTGAAACTAAGCTAAAAGTAGCCATCTATTAAAAATGTGCTGAAGTATGTATGTCTCATCTAAAATGTTCTGAGACAAAAATGCTGCCTGCAGTTCAATAACCACTTGACCATGTGGGCTAAAATACATTGTCATACTTCAGTTCAGCTAGCTCAGATCCATACATTTTACTTTCAATTCTGCAGCAGATTTCCTAAAAGAGGAGAGAAATTGCCTTCAGTTCAGCAACTAGATCCAAACCTTTTCCATTCCTTACAATTCTGCAGGCAAGCTCCCCAAGAGCAGAGAAATAGCTTCCCCTCAGAGTTAGGCTTGCTGATGATAGAATAATGAGACGATTGCCAAAGAACGCAACATCACAGCCTCCAATGTCTTAGGAACAGTCAGAGTTCACCACAAGCTTTAAAGAGTAAAACTGTTAGAGTTATGAATGTGATTCACAAACACCTCACAATTACAATGTCCTCTCTGTCATTATACAGAGCATGGCATTTCTAGGGCAATTAAAACAGAAAAGCATAGGACATGTTGTAATATATCATTCATATTCAACATGTAATTGTATTTATATTATGAGAATAGAAACCTTATTGTATCCTAACCTCTACAGTTAGAGTGGATAGTCACTATTGACTGTGTACAGCGCTGTGTGTTGAGGTGTGTGATTCTTGGCCAGAGATAGAGGTCTTTTGAGGTCATTCAGAGCATGATGGAATTAACAAACTGCACTCATTTGTATGTTTTATTACATGTTTTTATATACAAAGCAACAAACAACCCCACAAACAGATGTGTTGAACTGTACATACGTCTTCTTAGAGAGTGAGACAAGAAAAAGGCTGAGGCAAAGGAGCAGAGAGATGGCGACCTAGAGAAGAGTAAGTTAAGACAAGCAACAGAAAACAAAGAGAGTGTGCAACTGTAATAGGAATAGACAAGAGAGAGGGCAGAGAGAGTGGCAAGAGAGAGGGGAAGAGAGAGGCACGGAGAGAAGCAGAGCAAGAGCAAGAAGAGGGCACAAGAGAGAGGGACAAGATAGAGGCAGAGACAGAGAGAGAGGGCACAGAAGAGAGAGGACAGAGAGTAAGGGGACAGAGAGAGGGACAGAGCAGAGAGAGACAGAGCAGAGAGGGCAGAGAGGAGGGCAGAGAGAGAGGCGAGACAGAGAGAGAGGCAGAGAGAGGCAGAGAGAGAGGGACAGAGAGAGGGGGACAGAGAGAGAGGGGACAGAGAGAGAGAAGGAAAGCGAGAAGACAGAGGCAGAGAGGGCCGAGCAGAGAGGGCAGAGAGAGAGGGGACAGAGCGGAGGCAGAGAGGGCAGAGAGGAGAGGGCCACACAGAGAGAGAGGGGACAGAGAGAGAGGGGACCAGAGAGAGAGGGGGACAGAGAGAGAGGGGACAGAGAGAGGGGGAGGAAACAGAGAGAGAGGCAGGCGAGAAGGGCGAGAGGCAGCGAGAGAGAGAAGGACAGGCAGAGAGGCAAGAGGGCAGATGAGAGAGGGGGACAGAGAGAGAGGGGACAGAGAGAGAGAGAGACAGAGGCCAGATAGGGCAGAGAGAGGGGCACAGAGAAGAGAGGGGACAGAGAGAGAGGCAGAGAGGCCACAGAGGAGAGGAGACAGAGGCAGAGAGGGCAGAGAGAGAGGGCACAGAGAGAGAGGGGACAGAGAGAGAGGGCACAGAGAGAGAGGGCAGAGAGAGGGGACAGAGAGAGAGGGCAGAGAGAGAGGGGACAGAGAGAGAGGGCACAGAGAGAGAGGGGACAGCGAGAGAGAAGACAGAGGCAGAGAGGGCAGAGAGAGAGGGCACAGAGAGAGAGGGCACAGAGAGAGAGGGGACAGAGAGAGAGGGGACAGAGAGAGAGGGGACAGAGAGAGAGGGGACAGAGGCAGAGAGAAGACAGAGGCAGAGAGAAGACAGAGAGAGAAGACAGAGAGAGAGGGCACAGAGAGAGAGGGCACAGAGAGAGAGGGCACAGAGAGAGAGGGCACAGAGAGAGGGCACAGAGAGAGAGGGCACAGAGAGAGAGGGCACAGAGAGAGAGAGAAGACAGAGGCAGAGAGGGCAGAGAGAGAGGGGACAGAGGCAGAGAGAAGACAGAGGCAGAGAGAAGACAGAGAGAGAGGGCACGGAGAGAGAGGGCACAGAGAGAGAGGGCACAGAGAGAGAGGGCACAGAGAGAGAGGGCACAGAGAGAGAGGGCACAGAGAGAGAGGGCACAGAGAGAGAGGGCACAGAGAGAGAGGGCACAGAGAGAGAGGCAGCGAGAGAGAGGGCGAGAGCAAGGTGCGGCAGAGAGCGAGAGGTGGCAGAGTCACCTTGTCAGAGAGATTTACACGGTTATCAAAACGTCACACCAGGGTAAGCCTACACAAAACACAGCCCTTATTTTAAGTGTTTCTAAAATCCCCTATGGGAAAAATGTCTGTCTGTCTGTCTGTGACAGAGAGGAGAGAGTAAGGCCCTCAGATCCTGCTGCTACTGCACCTTCTTACATAATAATATACAGTATCATAAATACCTTCTCTATATCTGACAGAGAAGAGAGTGTGACTCCCTCCAGGACCTCTGGAGCTGTGAAGGCCCTCAGGTCCTGCTGCGTCACGTTCTCGTCTGTGAAGGAGATGCTGCCTGAGGGCATCAACAACAGGGACCATGGAGAGATGATGAAGCCCAGGGCAGAGGGGTCTGGAGGGAGGGAGACATCATGGGGTTAGAGAGGACTGGAGCGTCTTTATTCAATATAACAGTCACACAGCACCTCACCATAAAACTTGAGTGTTATGACTTCAGTTGCTTTAGGTGACACTTTAAATCAAAGCCTGCAGGTATGATGATTTATAACTTATGGATGAAGGCCGTCAATAATAAATAAATACATATACTTAAATACACAGTCAGTGTTTCCGCTGCACTCCTTCAACTGTGGCCCTGTGCCAAGGCAAAATCATTGCCGCCATGCCAAAAAAAAATATTAACATTTCTGTCAAGGCGCACTTTGAAGATGCTATAACAGTCCACATTTACGTTTCCTCTGCAAACAAAATGAGTAACGAATAGAGAAATCAGACAACCCTTTGGTACAATAGTTGACTTATTTACATAGTCAGCTTGTTGTGTGTCCTGTCTGTGAGAGAGAAACGTTCCTCTCGATGGGCATTCAAGTAACGAGTGCCATAGGGAGGGAAACCTGCATTCTGATAAGCAGTCAATGCACAACAATTCTTGAAAATCGTGGGAAATCGTAGGGCGGCAGGTGGCTTAGTGGGTAAGAGCGTTGTGCCAGTAACCGAAAGGTCGCTGGTTCTAATCCCCGAGCCGACTAGGTGAAAAATCTGTCGATGTGCCCTTGAGCAAGGCACTTAACCCTAATTGCTCCTGTAAGTCGCTCTGGATAAGAGCGTCTGCTAAATGACTAAAATGTAAAAATGTAAATGGAAAAATAGCTGTTTTAAATGGCCTTTGTTAAAAAGAGTGGGTTTCCCCAGCATTCCATTCCTACTTCATTTCTTTCTCAATTCCTAAACCATCTCAATTGGGTTGAGGTCGGGGGATTGTGGAGGCCAGGTCATCTGATGCAGCACTCCATCACTATCCTTCTTGGTCAAATAGCCCTTACACAGCCTGGAGATGTGTTTTGGGTCATTGTCCTGTTGAAAAACAAATGATAGTCCCACTAAGCGCAAACCAGATGGGTTGGTGTATCGCTGCAGAATGCTGTGGTAGCCATGCTGGTTAAGTGTGCCTTGAATTCTAAATAAATCACTGACAGTGTCACCAGATGAGCACCCCCACACCATCACACCTCCTTCATGCCGCACGGTGGGAACCACACATTCGGAGATCATCCGTTCACCTACTCTGCGTCTTGCAAGGACACTGCGGTTGGAACCAAAAATCTCCAATTTGGACTCCAGACCAAAGGACAGATTTCCACCGGTCTAATGTCCATTTCTCGTGTTTCTTGGCCCAAGCAAGTCTCTTCTTCTTATTGGTGTCCTTTAGTAGTGGTTTCTTTGCAGCAATTCGACCAGGAAGGTCTGATTTCACACAGTCTCCTCTGAACAGTTGATGTTGATGTGTCTGTTACTTGAACTCTGAAGCATTTATTTGGGCTGCAATCTGAGGCTGGTAACTCTAATGAACTTATCCTCTGCAGCAGAGGTAACTCTGGGTCTTCCTTTCCTGTGGCGGTCCTCATGAGAGCCAGTTTCATCATAGCGCTTGATGGTTTTTGCGTCTGCAAAGTAGAGGCTTTGTCGCCGGCAGTACCTTTTCGTTTATAAAAGAAAAGTCGGCGGGATGCTAAAGTTGGCGAGAAAAAAAAAACTCTTGGTTTGAAAGGTGTGAAAGAGAGGAATGGTGCCTCAACACAGAAATGGAGTAATTCTCCTTTCCTACAAATCTACACTCAGCTGGTTGAGTTACACTGAACCAACGTCTTAAAAATATACAAAAAGGAATGTTTGAGCTGCACTGCAAAATTCCTTTCTTTGACGGACGGATATTGTGCTCCTCCAAGAGGAAGAGAAGGAGCTTATGAAGCACACCATTTTTGCAAAGACTGGAATTCAAAAGTAAATAGATGTTTCCTGTTCAATTATTTTTGACCGTCTTGCAAAAAGACCCTCACTGGAAAAGCTGGATGCCATTCTATGTCATTTTTACTCAACGAAAATTCCTATCTTTACCATCATAAACACTTGACAGTTTCAAGGCAACACCCATACTTTATAAAAATTCAACAAAGTGACAGAATTGGCAGTCCAACAACCCAAAACACTGAACGCAACTTGAAGGAGATACCACAGTATATATTTTTTACATTTTACATTTTAGTCATTTAGCAGACGCTCTTATCCAGAGTGACTTACAGTTAGTGAGTGCATACATTTTCGTCCTGGTCCCCATTGGAACACTATACAGCTAATAGGGCACCATTTTGGATGCATCCTTACACTACTCCAGTCAGGCATGAACATCAGATAAGCTTTGTTTATCAGGGTTTGGGACTCAGATCAATGATGAGGCAGAGGGCCAGGCCTGGGAGTAGCAGCAGACAGGCAGCACAAACTGTACAGTATCGCGCTAGCCAGCTATCCGTTTTTAAAATCGCACAAACTAAACAGGCTTTGACGGCACTGGGCACCATCACAATACCTTTTTTTTGTTTTTAGACAGTCTAGAATTAAAAAGTGATTATAAGCAGAAATGCCACTCTCTCACAAAAAACCCAACACCTTACTTCACCTAGTTAAACAAATCCATTCCCACAAACATGGTAGCTAACAAACCTGTAGTTAACTAATAAACCTGACAAACAAACCACTACTATTTACAAATAGTAGGCTATATGGCCACCCGGGAGGTTTACACTCCTGGTCTTTTTCGTTGTAAACAGAACAGCATCCTGTTCACTATGTACTGCACTTCCTTTGAAAGAAAAAAAAGTAATTCTGACTGGTCAAAAGTAGTGGTGAACTTCATTAGGGAGCCATTTGGGACGGTGTCATTTCTTTAGTTCCTCTCAGAGCAGAATAGTATGGGAGCAGGGTTGTACTAAGGTCTCTACTTGAACTTGGTTTATATCCACAAAAACAAAACTTCATGAAACTATTAGTAAAAGTAGGGCTCTGGTATACAAGAATTTAGAGGCCTATATGCAAATAAATCCACAGTCACAAACACACACAGAGCCTTCAGGAAGTGGTCACACCACGCTTTTTCCACATTTTTGTTTTGTTACAGCCTGAATGTAAAATGGATTAAACTGAGATTGTGTCACTGATCTACACACAATACCCCATAATGTCAAAGTGGAATTTGTCTTCATTCATTCTGTGTTCAATGATAGTGGTTAACATTTTTTTTAAATAACTACGCAGTATCTCAGTCGAGCAGTGAATTTCAAGCACACGTTCAACCACAGACCAGGGAGGTTTTTCAATGCCCCACAAAGAAGAGCACCGATTTGGTAGATGTGTAAAAAAAACACACTAAAAAAAAGCAGACGCTGAATATATCTTTGAGCATGGTGAAGTTATTCATTAGGCTTTGGATGGTCAATACACCCAGTCACTACAAAGATACAGGTGTCCTTCCTAACTCAGTTGCCAGAGAGGCCAATGGTGATTTAAAAAAAACAGTTACATAGTTTTAATGGCTGTGATAGGAGAAAACTGAGGATGGATCAACATTGTAGTTACTCCACAATAGTAACCTAAATTACAGAGTGAAAAGAGGGAAGTCTGTACGGAATAAAAATATTCCAAAACATGCATCCTGTTTCCAACAAGCCACTTAAATAACACTGCAAAAAATGTGGCAAGGAAATTAACTTTTTGTCCTGAATACAAAGTGTTATGTTTGGGGCAAATCCAATTCAGCACGTCACTGAGTACCACTCTTCATATTTTCAAGCATGGTGGTGGCTGCATCATGTTATGGGTATGATTGTCAACGGCAAGGACTAGGGACTAGAGGAAAACCTGGTTCAGTCTGCTTTCCAACAAGCACTGGGAAACAGATTCACCTTTCGGCAGGACAATAACCTAAAACCCATGGCCAGATCTACACAGGAGTTGCTTACCAAGACGACATTGAATGTTCCTGTGTGGCCTAATTACAGTTTTGACTTTTTAAAAAAAATATTTAAAATACTTTTTAAAAAAATAAAAAAAAAGTATGCATGCACTCACTAACTAAGTCGCTCTGGATAAGAGTGTCTGCTAAATGACTAAAATGTAAATGTAAAATGTATTGTGTAGTTAGGTAATTTATTTGTATTTTTTTAAAAATCCATTTTGAATTCAGTCTGTAACAAAATGTGTAGTAAGTCAAGGGGTATTAATACTTTCTGAAGGCACTGTACATGCATACATACAGTGTACAAAACATTAAGGACACTTGCTCTTTCCATGACAGACTGACCAGTGAATCGAGGTGAAAGCTTTGATCCCTTATTGATGTCACTTGTTAAATCCACTTCAAAATCAGTGTAGATGAAGGGGAGGAGACAGGTTAAAGAAGGATTTTTAGCCTTGAGATAATTCAGACATGGATTGTGTATGTGTGCCATTCAGAGGGTGAATGTGCAAGACAAAACATTTAATTGCCTTTGAACAGGGTATGGTAGTAGGTGCCAGGCGCACCGGTTTGTGTCAAGAATAGCAACGCTGCTGGGTTTTTCACGCTCAACAGTTTCCCGTGTGTATCAAGAATGGTCCACCACCCAAAGGACATCCAGACAACTTGGCACAACTGTGGGAAGCATTGGAGTCAACATGGGCCAGCAATTAATTTCCTTCTTAATGCATTTGAGCCAATCAGTTGTGTTGTGACAAGGTAGGGTTGGTATACAGAAGATAGCCCTATTTGGTAAAAGACCAAGTCCATATTATGACAAGAACAGCTCAAATAAGCAAAGAGAAACGACAGTCCATCATTACTTTAAAGACAAGAAGGTCAGTCAATCCGGAATATTTCAAGAACTTTGAAAGTTTCTTCAAGTGCAGACGCAAAAACCATCAAGCGCTATGATGAAACTGGCTCTCATGAGGACCGCCACAGGAATGGAAGACCCAGAGTTACCTCTGCTGCAGAGGATAAGTTCATTAGAGTTACCAGCCTCAGAAATTGCAGCCCAAATAAATGCTTCAGAGTTCAAGTAACAGACACATCAACATCAA